TAAAAAATATGTGTATTTTTTCGCCTTAGTTATTGTAACATAGTTGAACCATTTGAATAAACAAACGACATAACAAAATTAGTTTAAGTAAAACAACTTGTTTTTGATAAACAACAAACCATAACATAATACCGTATGGTATTGTTTGTATTTTTTGCGTGATAGAACACAATAAAAAAGCTATACAAAAATTGTGAAAAACATCTTTATAAAATGTAAAAAAAATGTATCGTTTGCTTATGTGTAAGAAATAAGGTAAACCACGGGTTATAATTAGTATTTGCAATAAATTATTTAACCAAAATTTTAATTCACGTTTAATAAATACAATATTAATGATTAAACATAAAAGGGTCTTGCATGTATATGTATATGAGTTATCAACTTCCTAATATAGCTATAAAATAAATTTAATACATCTATTGTTGAAAATTGTAGTGACTAATAAGATTGCAGTAGTGAATAATAACACATAAAACTACAACTATAAATAACTATTGACTATATCTAATTAAAATGTATAAGTATTTTGTTTATGAATGGATATCTTTCATTCCAATTTTCATTTCTTTAAAAATGCCTTCATACTATTAGATTCTACCTAGAGCATAATTCGCATAACATTTTTTTTGAGTAAATAATTACCCCCTACCTTTTTTTTCATTATTTATATTTTTAGTTTTACTTAATAAAAAAAAAATTATTATTAGTTTACAAAACTATATTTATGTTTTAAATTATAAGTCTGACAACATAACACATTCGAGAGAGCTTCAACTTTTAAATTTAATAAGTGAACTTGCAAACACTTTTATGATAATTATCGGATGGGAACTTGAAAAAAAAAAGCGATTAATGATTATCAATTTTATAAATCTCTAATGTTGTAGTGCTGCTAATGTGTCATAAACTAATAATATTTTAATAAACAAAATTTAATTAACTGTAGGTAAAAATAAAATGTCTTATAAATTATAAAAAACTGTAAGTTTTACACTTCCCACTTCAGTAGGGTTTTTTTCTAAATTACCTAAAAGATATTTTTTTGGCAATAATTATCGGTGAATCATTTATTTATCATACTGAGTTTTGCAACGCTCACATTAGCGACAGTGTTTTTTAATTAAGTATATGTATGAAACATGAAGATATGAGTCATAGCTAATGTACACATAATATGTACCTTTTGTACATCGTCCCAGTGTGGATAAGTAATTTTATTACATTTTTGTAATATTACAATTTTTAAAAAAAATTAATAGTTTGTGATAATGTAAAATTAAACGACCTAGAACCAACATCTTTATCACATACAGTCTGTAACATATCTATTACTATTGTCAAAACTCGAAGCCCACAAAAGAGTTTTCATCATTGGCAATAGATTCTATTGATATAACACACGGGTTTATTTTACCTTTATTTAAAACAATCGATGTAGTTAGGATTTTGTTTAAGGGGAGGGCTGATCTTTGATTTACACAAAATTCACACTTTTTACATAATTTAAATAAAATACATATATATATATATGTATACAGGGTGATCAACTTATCGTGAACCACTCAATATTGGAGGGGAAGTGCAGTTGGGACATGCGTGCTGATAAAAATACTTATCCAAAACTGGTTATCGACCTGTCAAAATGTTGAGTACATTATTCTCAATTTTAAAAGTTAATGAAATCTATGCGTTACCATTTAAGTTTCAAAAGTTGTAATAAAAAAAACTTAAGTGGGAGGGCGTTAAAAATTTAAGTATCATAACACCATGCATTTAAAGACTCTTTTAACAATGCAACTTAATGTGTTTTAACCGTACTGCATATATTCTAATTGCTGCTTAAAACTATACAGAAACTTATGCATATAGAGATGGGAAATTCGAAAAACAGATTTATAAAAAAAAAAAAACGGTGATGCTAGTAGTAACAAATTGGGTCCTCTCCGCCCATTTTTTTGTTTAACTAATTATTTATAGTAAACCAAAACATGAACTATAAGATTTCATTATATAGTTTAGAAAGTAAATTATCAGCATTGAGTTTTTACTAAAATTGGTAGTGGGAGACCAAATTGTTTTATAAAAACATGTTTTTAATAAAAAAAAGATATTTTTATTCAATACATTGTGTGTGTGTGTGTTACAGTAAAATTAAAAGAATATAATAATAGTTGATTATAATAACGAGTGTGGTGATTTTTGTGCTTTGGACTATTTAGACTGTAAAACGCGTAACAAGACTTTTGATAAATGGTGTAGTACACTACCTATTCATTACTAGTTTTAATTTACTATCCATAATTAGTAAAATCAAAAAATGGGCGCAGAGAACCCAAACTGTTACTACTATTTTTGAATCTTAAGATATAAAATAGTTAAACGAATGTCCGAAAAGAAATATACAATAAAATGTATACATTAAACTATGCGATATCATATATATAGCCAGACAGTTTTGAGTCACACATAACTCATTATTACAAAAAACTTTATTTTCTGGGTCCTATATTTCCCTGTCTACAATTATGACATGTCTGCAAACTAGCAAGTCGAAAGTTAAGAGGATGCCGCATATACTAGTTTCTTAGGTTCTCACTGTAGACAGTACTGTTTGAATAATTTTTATGTAGATCTTAATTTGTTTTTACATTAACTATACTTAAAAATATATTTAACAAGGGTACGCTGATGTTTAAATTGAACGCAATATCTTAAGGTTTGTTTTAAACTGAAAATGTGTACCTTAATAATTGTACTGAAATTATGATAAGCAGCCAATTTTGCATAACATTCACGTACATTTACTAACTGTATTAATACCTTAATTATTTTTTGGTATTTTTAAAGATGATTGAACATTGCACAAATTCCAAATGTAAATGAAATATACCGTGTTGGCTTTTAATGGTAATTGAAATAACCCAGTAGCCAGATTATCTATGGGGACGCATTTGAATAGAAAACAAAATTAACAAATGGAGAATGATAGCATTGAGGATATTTTATTAGTAGTTCTTCTTTTCATCAGGCTATCAGAGCCTTTTTTAATACAAAATTAAAAAAAAAACAGCCTCTCGCACTTAAGTACATCTTTGGCATAAATTTTTTTTGAAAATGTATTTTATATTCGCATAATAATAATACTTAATATTATCATGCCAATATGAAGATGTTTTTTTTTTTACTAATTTACTATAATACACAGGTTTTTCTGTTCGAATAAAGATCATAGCGATAACGTTTCCTACATTTCTATGTATCATAGTATATTTTCCACAACGTTTTTGTGCCTTTGTAATGGCGTTAACACATATGGACATTCAAAATCGTTCTTGGTAAAACAATTCGCATAAACAGCATTACCATGACCTAAATTTTGTATTTTTTGGCTATAAAAATGAACTTGCGACCGCATGTTTTTGCGCCTAAGTACGAATTTGGAAACATAAATATGTTTTCACATCTGGAAAGTCAAATTCAACAGCGATTCGCACAAACAGAACCGCGATGAACTTTTTTTTTTTAAAATTGTTTTTTGGCTTACAAAAAGAACTGGCGGCAACATGTTTTTGTGCTCAAACAATACAAAAACACATCTGGAAACGAAAATATGTTTCGACAAGCGTTTTTTTCTGAAAAAACCGGTTTTTCGTAAAGTTACAAATTTATAAAAAAAAATTTTAATGTATAAAAAATACAACCCCTCAAATCTAGGGCACAGTATTTTTTCATTCTTCATGTCCTAAATTTCTCCTTTTGTAGTTATGAGCCAACTGGCTAGTCAAAAGTTAAGGCGCTGTCTTATGTACTAGATTTTAAGGCTTTCGTTGTAGACAGTATTGTCTGGAAAAACTTCATGCAGATTGTTATTTTTACATTAAATATGTTGATGATACAACAACCTGGTTTGAACAAATTATAAAACCTCTTTCGTTAAGAAAAGTAAATAACACTTTTTTCGGTTATGTGCCAGAGCTAAGACATGAAAATGTCAAAAAAAAAAATCGATAATAATACAACCCTTGAGTTACACCTTTTGACTTATAATCGGGGTTAATCTCACAAAATCTAGGAACAGTGTACTTTTATTTTCTGGGTCCTATATTTTCCTGTCTGTAATCATGACTTGTGCTAAAAACAAAGGTCTATAAAGAAACATATTACAATTCAGATTCGTTGAAAAAAAGATAAAAGACACAAATTTAGTTTTAACTACAACAATTTGGTGGATAGTGTACAATAGTACATGAACCTGTTCGTTAAATATATATATATATATATATTAAAGCTTAAACCATGCGATATCATATATATTTGACCAGACTGTATTTTTTAATCACACAAAATGAACTATTATTCAATTTTTTATTGATTGGGTAATCCGGTAAAAATGCCTATGTAATTTCATTATTTATACTATCGAGTTCATTGGAAGTGTTTTGATAATACACCTTGTTTGAACAATTTATTAAGATTAAATTTTTAAAATGCAATTGAGCAGCTATTATTTGAAGAGGTTAGACCAAAACTTTGGATATTTAATTAAAACCCTATTCTTCAGTGAGACAAACGGCTTAAATCAGATCGTCATGGCAAATTCTCCATTTGTTAATTTTGCTATCTATTCAAATGCGATACCAAAGATGATATGACTATTGGGTTATACTAATTACAGCATATTTCTTGTTTAAATAACTAGAATTTTGTTTAGTTAACATATAATAAATTTGTGGGCAGGAGGGCGAAAATTACTTATTTAACTTTCTGGTACTTTTCAAATGTAATTCCTGATCTAGTTTATTTCACTCCCATAAATCTATTCAGATGTTCTTCAAAGTTACAGTGGGTACGAATACAAAATAAATTACATCTCGGCGAAATCGTACCGAGTACTTAGGTACTATAAATAAGATGACATAGCGTAGTCAGAATAAGTACATGTACAGTACCCACAAGGGCGTAGGTAGGTACTTACTAAATAAAACATACACGTGTGATTAGATATTTGAATCAAACGGATGTATTTGTTGAATTTAAAACAGTGTATTAATTAATACAAATCGAGTTGTGTGCGCAAACTGGATTATTCCAAAACTCGTGCAATAATAATTAATAAACAAAACAAAAATGAAAAATAATTAAATTTTGAATTTTAGTTGTCATTTGGTGGCCTATACCATCGCGGATGAGAATAGAGAGGGTTCTTTTTCTCGCCAATGAGATTGACGGGCCTGGGATCTCCGGACTTCCACTGTTCGCACCTGAGTTCTGAGCATCCGTGAGTGATAAGATACGTTTCCAGCTTTTTGATTACTCCAGACAGCGAACAAAATTCACACGGGATACCGTCATCTTCTAATTGGATAGCCGTTAGCTTTTCGTTGAAAAACAAGCCAACCAAAGACTCGCTGCCGGGCTTTTCGAGTACGATAGCCATGAAGTTCGCCATGTAGGGGATGATATGCGAAGTTCTGAATAATTGCTGTTCTTTTGGATGTAAGCCTAAGACCTGATGAATCATTGCAATGTTTGACCGGTGCAAGAAGTACATTGGATTGATTGATGTCCCACTGAAAAACAAAATTAAAATATTACAATTAACCCGTTTCCGCTTACGACCGTGAAACAGTACATAAAACTTCAATGTACCTCTTCAAAAACAATAACAGATGCTCGGCCAAACCGCAAGCCATTTTTCCGTTGAAAGCACTTTCACTGATTGAAGTAAATCCCCACCAAAATATTTCATCGATCTGTAACATTATCTGCAAAAATATCGTCGCAATCATTTGCGGTTCTCGCTTGTTTACAATAAGGTACAAAAATGATTACTAAAGCATCTTCTTTTTCAAACAAGTGGCAAGGGATTGCGTTATCATCTTCTGTGATTATTCTATCCTGGCGGCAACATTCCCACGTACCTTTTAGACAACCTAACAACAAATATAAACATTGAAGAGACTGTTTGCTAAAAGCCTCGACATCTAAGGTCATTGGGTGTAAATTACATAGTCTTAATAACTCACTGTAATCAGCATCTTCCTTATCTAACCATAATTTTTCTGAAAATCTTGTGATCAAACTTTTGATATCATCACTGTTTTGATGTTCTTCATATTTCTTTGCAAGATTAGCTTCATATTCTTCGTTTTTTGGATCTTGTTTCCTAGCGTATTCCATCTAGAGCATAAAATTATAATTTATAATGCTTTGATACACACGCAATGTTATATAACGTACCATTAAAAGAAGATCATCGTCTGCGCATGTTGGAATTTTATCAGGAACTCCTCCTTTAAATAGTGCACTCAACAATACTCGGGCACTTTCCACACAACGGTTGTCGCCGTCTGGCGTTGATAATATCTATGATGTATAAATTAAATACTTAGAAACCTATTTTATAGTATGTTTTACGGACAATTTTACCGGGAATTTTTCAGCATCATAATCTTGGTCGCCAAATATTCCTGAAAGCTTAGTCGATAACCTAGATGCGAGACCACCCAATTCCTTTTTGCCTACAGGAAGCAAACCTGTTCCAACACCTGGAACTGATTTCGGATTCCAACTCAAAAATCTTTGAATGTGAACTGGGACCTCTAACTGGGGATTTTCCTCCCGCCTTTTTGCGATGTTTGCTTTAATTTTATCTTGTTTTGCTATCATCAATTCTCTATTTTTCCATTTATCTTCTAATGAGGCTGACCCGTGTCGAAGAAGCAACATAACCCTAGTTACTTCATAACCTATACAATTAGACAGTAAAAACGTTTTTATTCATGCTTAAATATTTTCCACATTTCTATTGACCTTTGAAACTTTAAAGATAACGTTTATGTGTATCAAGTTAGTGTATAGTATGTAAAGTTATGTGCATTTAGAATAACTTGATGAGAATTTCTATTGGTCGACCACCATGTTTGAATAATTACTTATAATTTAAAAATGTAGAACGGGAAGTGTTATGTGGTTGAATATTTAATACTACACTCCACCCTTCTTCCTGTCATAAATTTAAAACCTGAACACCATTTAAAACCGTTTTTCAAAAATGATTATCGGCCAGTAAAAAATATTAAGAGAGTTATTTGTAGTTTAAACGGTTAGTTAAAAAAGGCAAACATTTCAGTACTGTTTTATATTGTAAAATATCATCATAAAGTCACTAAAGTGTCGCCCAAAAAAAAATATATACTTTAATAATAAAATACTAAATAAAATAAATTACTTTAAAAATATATTACTTTCAGATAAATTAAGTGTGTTACGGTTACGTTAAATCATAAAGCTGTATATGAATATATTTTTCTCTAAACCCACTTATACAAGTTAATCATTTTATCGTAACAAACATCTCGCTGGGTTTAATTAATATTTGAATTTTTTTTTTGTCTTTGTTTTTTTTACATAACGTGATCTAAATTTTCCTCAAATTTTTATGTTCCTACCGCCCTCTCAAACTTATTATTTTTATTTCAATTATTGAAACTTAAATGGTAATGCATGCATTTCATTAACTTTTTAAATTGATAATAATGTACTAGAAGTGTTGACTGGTCGATAAAAGTTATTCAGAACTGATTAATAACCAGTCAAAATATTTAGAAATATATTCCTAATTTAAATAGTTAATCAAATATATACGTTATTATATTTTAAGTTTCAAAAGTTTATTTAAAAATAATTAGTTTTGAAAGGGCGAAAAAAAATTTTGAAAAAATTGAGATCACTTTGTATTAAAACACTATGAGAAAAAAAAATTCTTATTCAACCATATTAGATATTGAGTGGTTCACGATAAAATGATCACTCTATATTTTTGGGTTTGCTTAGTTATTTTTTATATCGTTTATAAAGTTGAAAAAAAAATCAAATCAAAATTATTGTTTGTGTGATGTAACAAAACTCTACATTTTATATTAATTTTGAGACTTAAAAAAAAAAAAATAGAATGAATAATTATTCAAGTGCTTGAAATACATTTTAAAAAATGATTCAAGTGCAGAAAACAGTATTTAAAAAAAAAAAATTCTGAGATGATTAAATTAAAATGGAAAAATACAAGCTAACGGCTACTATGAATTTTATTTTTAATGAAATATTTTTTTTTAAATACCCACAACGAGAGCCGTTATTAATTTTCAAAAGAAGTAACCAACTTTGGTTTCAAGAGCTTTAGACAATTTTAAAACGTTACAGTACTTTACTTTTGAAAAATATAAGCGGTTACGAGTAAATATCTTTTTTTATGAATTTTAATAGATTTATTTGTTTTTTTTTTCATATTTATTATTTGATTATAATTCTGCCTGACAACATTAAACCTTAGTTAAGCGATACTCACCAGGTAATAGTGAAATTTCTGCCCCTACGTCGCAGTATCGGGTTTTCGAGCAAAGGAACGGATAATCTAATGAATCGACTATGGCCACTGCCAACAACAAAGATACCAAGCACAAGTACTTCCCCATTGTATCAGGTGCTATGAAAATAAAAAAAATATTCAAATTAATACCGGATGACAACGATCAGCAGTTTCACAATAATGTTTAAATAATTTCATAAGTTACCTTTAAAATCGCCAAAATGTATAACAAAGTATAAAGTTTACAAAGAAGTACAATATAATAGTTACAACGAAAATTGCCACTATTGTAATATGTGATTTCTATCGTCCTCCGACATGGCTTAATATAAGCAAAAGTCAGTTGGAAAAATATATTAAATAACTGCGATTATAGTTTTAAGGCGAAAACGTGTATTCTCAAATATGCCTTTAAGCAAATAACTTAATGGCTTTTAAGCAAATAATAATAGGTGCTCACATTTGAAAAACAAGCACACGAGCCGTGCGATTTTCGGAAAATATTTGGTTTACAAGTGTGTTTTTGTTTTTGCTATTCGCCTAAAGATCACAGCGATGACGTTATCTTATATTTTTGTATATTTTCCACAACATGTTTGTGCCTTAAACACACATCTGGACAGTCTAAATCAACAACGATTCGCACAAGCAGCACAGCGATGACCTAAATTATTTTTTATTTGGTTATCAAAAAGAACTTGCGGCAACATGTTTTGTTTCGTGTTCAAATAATACTAAAAACACATTTGGAAACCAAAAAATGTTTTCGACAAGCGTTTTTTTTCTCTGAAAAACAAGTTTTTTGTAAAGCAAATTCGGCGTTTATCTAACAAAATTTAGGACACAATATTTCATTATTTTCCTGGTCCTATATTACCCTGTCTGTAATTATTTGCCAACACAGTCAAGTCAAAAGTTAAGAGGATACCGCATTTACCAATTTTTAATAATTTTTTTATACAGATCTACTATAATACACAGGTTTTCCTATTCGCATAAAGACCACAGTGATGATGTATCCCACATTTGTGTTTATCATAGTATTCTTTCCACAACATGTTTCTGGCTTGGTAATGCCTTTAACACGTGTGGACATTCAAAATCGTTTTTGGTAAAACGACAACAATTCGCTTAAACAATACCGCCATAACCTGAATTCTTATTTTTTTGGCTATTAAAAAACCGCGACCGCATATTTATTGTGCCTAAATACACATTTGGAAACAAAAATATATTTTCAACGAGCATTTTTTTTTTGTCGAAAGAACACATTTTTCGTAACGTCACAAATTAATGGAAAAAAAAAATAGATAAAAATACAACCCTTCAGTTACACTTTTTAATTTTAAATCGGGGTTAATTTAACAAATTCTAGGAACAGTATTGTTTTATTTTATGGGTCCTATTATTCCCTGTCTATAATTATGTCTTGTGTTAAACAAAGGTCTAAAAAGAAACATACTACAATTCAGATTCGTTAAAAAAAAGATAAAAGACAGAAATTTAGTTTTAATTACAACAATTTGGTGGATAGTGTACAAGTACATGAAACCTGTTCGTTAAATATATACCTACATTCAAGTTTAATCACGGCGAAATCATATTTTTGGCCAGACTGTATTTTTTAATCCCACACGATGAACTATTATTCAATTTTTTATTGATTGGGTCTTCTTCTTGAATTTCCTATCCGTTTCGAATGTTGGAAACCATAATAGATATTGCTTCTCTTATACATTCAAAATATTTAAATATTTCAGACATTTTTACGAATTCACCTCTGGCCATCTCAATCCGGGATTTAACTTCCATCCCATGTTCCCAGTCCTCATTTACCCATGTACCGAGATTTCTATACTTTTGAACCTTTTCTATTTGCTATCCCCTAATTAACAGCTTTTCTCTTACAGTTTGTTTTTTCGAAATTACCATATATTTGGTTTTATTAATATTTAGAGACAACCCAAAACTTTCGCTTGTGTCCACTATTCTATCTACAATTTTTTGGAGGCTTGACGTATTATCCGTGAATACAACTGTAGCATCAGCGTATCTTATGTTGTTAATGCATTCCCCATTTACTTTTATGCCCTCATTAACTTCATCCAAAGCTTCTCGAAGTATGAATTCAGAATATAGGTGAAATAAAAGTGGTGACAGGACGCATCTCTGTATCACTCCTCTTTTTATTGGAATATCGTTTGACATCTCTGTTTCTACTCGTAAAGCAGAAGTTTGGTTCCAGTATAAATTACTTATTATACTCAAGTCTTGATCGTCAATTCCAGTGACTTCTATTATTTTTAAAAGTTTATCGTGTTCAACTCTATCGAATGCCTTTTGATAGTCAATGAGACAAGCATACACATCGTGATTGACATCCCTAGCCCTTCGAATTAACACTTGTAAGCTAAAGATGGCCTCTCTTGTACAAACTGAATTTCTAAACCCGAACTGTGTACTACTCATTTGAGTTTCGCATTTTTTTTTAAATTCTCTGATGTATGATTTTTAAAAAGATCTTTGATAAGTGGCTCATAAGACTAATAGTGCGAAAGTCATTACAATGTTTAGCGCTAGGTCTTTTAGGGAGTGCTACGAATGTAGATTTTAGCCATTGTGTGGGTAATTTTCCAGCACATTGATTGGGTAATCCGGTAAAAATGTCAATGTAGTTTTTGTTAGTTAAATTAGTTTGTTAGTTTAATTATTTGAAGAAGTTAGACCAAAACCTTGGATATTTAATTAAAACCCTATTCTTCAGTAAGACAATCGGCTTAAATCAGATTGTTATGGCAAATTCTCCATTTGTTAATTTTGCTATCTTTTCAAATGCGATACCAAAGATGATATGGCTAATGGGTTATACTAATTACAGCATATTTCTTGTTTAAATAACTAGAATTTTGTTTAGTTAACATATAATAAATTTGTGGGGGGTAAAAAATTACTTATTTAATTGCGACCGCATATTTTTGTGTCTAAATACACAAGCATAAGCACAGTTCGGTTAAAATATATCCGGTTGCTTTGTTCAAATAGTCTTTAAATGCGAGTTTTATACACACATTTCGAAATCAAGTAACGAGTCGTGCGATTTACAAAAAATATTTGCTTTACATGGGTTTTTTTTTTTAATTTACTCTAACACACAGGTTTTTCTAAATCACCACGGTAATGTTATTCTACATTTTTGTGTATCATAGTATATTTTGCACAGCATGTTTGGGCCGTAAACACATCTGCATACTTGATAACACTACTAAATCGTTTTTTTTTTTAAACAACAACAGTTGGCATAAACAGCACCGCTTTGACTTAAATTATTCGTCTACGGTCAAAGTGTAATTTTCCCCTATTTTTGACGTTTTCATGTCTTTGCTCTGGCACATAACCGAAAAAAGCGTTATCAAAAATGCGTTCTTTACAAAACCGTTACAGGGGGTAGGAGATAGGGTTGGGAGATAGGGGCGGGAGATAGAGGGTGGGATATATGGTTGGAGATAGGGGGTATTAGATAGGGGTGGGAGATAAGAGGTACGTTGTACGTTCAACGTTCAAATTAGAACTAAATGATAAATTCAAAATAAATTAAGGGCCCAAATTCTCTATGTTAAGTTACTTTTGGCCAGATCATATACAAATATAGATTAGTTGTAGAATTATAATGAAAAAAAAATATTCTATGGATCTTCCAGTTACAGCATATGGCCAAGGAGATTAAAAAATTATGTACAATCAAATTTCTGGCTAATATTGTAGTGTTTAATATACTAGCTTGTTACTGTTTTTAATATACTATATCATTATCTATAATCCCACCACTACTCTAAATTTATTCGGTACTTCGACGAGACATGAAAATGCTCTTTCGTGGTTGCAGACTCGGCTGAAAAACTTTTTTTTTGTTTTTCCTAAATATTAAAAATGTTAGACTACAGATCTGTGAGGAAATTGTACAATATGTTATAGCCGCATACTAGATCTACCTTTGGTCTAATTTTCATACATAAACCCCTAAAACTTTGCATGAAAAAATACCCACCCCTTCTGGGAGAAAGGGTGAACGATAATTGTGAACTTCTCAATACCTCACTGGTTTTAATTAATAATTGAATTTACTTTTTCCATGTTTTTTTACATGTGATCTCAATCTCTCAAATTGGTTTTTTTGTTTTTACCCCCCTCGCAGATTAATTTTTTTGATAGCAACTTTTGAAACTTAAACGGTAACGCATACATTTCATTAACTTTTTTAATCGAGAATAATGCGCTAAAAATTTGTATTGGTCGATAACCCATTTTGGATAACTATTTTTGAAGTTTCAAGTTTAGAGTAAGAGGAATGGTGGAGTAGAGTATTATTTTCATCAGCGCGCATTTCCCAACCGCACTCCCTTCCCATCCTAACATTTAAACTCTTTTAAGTTTAAAAATAGTTGTCCAAATTTGGTTATCGACCAGTCAACATTTTTAGCACGTTATTTTCAGTTTAAAAAGTTAATAAAATGTATACGTTTCCGTTTAAGTTTGAAAGTTGCTATTAAACAAATTAAGTTGAGAGGGGAGTAAAACAAAAAAAAATTGTGAAAAATTGAGATCACATTGTATAAAAACAACATGTAAAAAAAAAATTTTAATTTCTTGTTAAAAAAAACCCGAGCGTACTTATATTACATAAGTGTAATCACTTTATGTGAATTTCACTTACTTAAAATGTGTCACAATGATTACAAGGTTGAAAAATGATAGCACTGTTATCTAATTATCTCTTAAGCTGGCGTGATGCCTACATAATATACAAGACAGTATGGCCAAACAGTGAAATAGTTAATAAAAATCCAATATTTCAGACTTCAAACACTATATATATATATAATATAGATTGCTTAATTATAATGTAACATTTGCACCATTTTGTGTAAAATAGGTATTAACTATATTATTCATCATACAATGTGTTTTATAAAATATCACAAGATAATAAATCTGCACACATAGCGCATTTGGATTCTTTTAATTATTCGAGTTAAGTCTTATGTTCAAAATAAGCTAACGATACATTTTATTCCTTAATTTTTGTATAGTTTTTTTATGGAAAACGATTTTTCCATAATGACAGTTGCAGCGTTAAGAATAACACACACCTGTCTGGGTATAATATACTTTTTTGTTTGAACTTATTTAACTTTTTTTCGAAGGTATCTTCAATGCTTTATTGCATTATTTAAAGCTCCTATGGCTGGTACAAGCAAAATTTACAAACAATACCTTTGTATAAATGGTGTGGTTCGTTGTTTATCGAATAACAAGTGTTTT